CTGGCTGAACTCCCTCAAAACCACACCTGATGTGGTCCAGTACAACCTGAAGCCCCTGCACACCATACTGCTGAACGGCCATCGAGCTCGTTGTGGACTGCAACGTGAAGTGGAGCGGTACATCAAGAAGAACGCAGTGCTGAAGAAATGTTCCGAATCCTGTCAGATCGGGCACAGGTCCAACAGAAGAGATCCGTGTGCCTGTGTGTGCAACAGTAACCAGAACATCAAGTCCAACTGCTGCCCTGCTGGGAAAGGTCTTGCAACGTTGAAGGTGTTTCGGCTTTATGCAAAGAAACTGTACGGTGATAGATGGACCAAGACAGACGCCTCGGTGGAGGTGAAACTTGGCGACCAGATAAGACGCACCAACATCATACCCAATAACGACAACCCAATATGGCAGAAAACGTTTGAGTTTGGATCCATCGTCATCACCATGTAAAACAAACTCACATTCAGAGTTTACGATGAGGATAGTCAGTGGAACAGTGATCTCCTGGGTAAGTGTTCGTTTGACCTCCGCAGAGGCCGTGTGTCAGACAGCTGCATGTTGAATCATGGTACCTTCTTCTTTACGTATGAAGTAGAGTGTGCACCGAGCCTCAGTGGAAACCAGTGTCAGGAATACATTCCCACTCCCATGAGTCCGTCTTTGGCCAAAGTTTTCTACACCAGAAACGGTGTCCTGGCCGGAGATTCATGGAAGAAGTTTGATAAGTCAGCCACTCGACCAACCTTTGACCAGTTGTGAGATGATTTCATGAATTGAGCTGTCCATTTAACCTTTTGCTTGTAGTCTTTGGCATTTTTCCTTTAGTTTTATCTTTAAATAATTAGATTTGTCCTGCCAAGGGAAATAAGAGTTCCCTATGCTCCATGTACCACATATTTCTTGCTCATTTTTAAATATTGAAATAAAGCATTGACAAAGACAATCCTACTGTTTTTTTCATCTTTAAAATATGTTCAGGTAAAACATACCTAAACATACCTAACAGACCTAAAATGACATTCATTCAACCTTTATTTATACAGGTTAATCCCATTGAGACTTGGGGATTCATTTACAAGAGAGACCTGATTTTACAAAAGAGTGATGACAACAGCGGAGAATCATAAAAAAGCATTCAAATAGAGATGAACAAATAAAAGAAAATGGTATTAAAAAATAAACAAAAACAGCTAGGTTGTAAAGCGATGTAGAATACCAAAAACAGGAACATGTCTGCATTGGTTTTTGACAGGAACTTAGCAGATGTTTGAAGCCACTTA